AGCCGCCTTGGCACTCGCACACCCAGGCGTGGGGATGCGCTTCCAGGGATTGCTGCATCCCAGCTTTGCAGAGACACTCACAGGAGCAGCAACCCCCCAGGATACGGGCAAGAGCCCCTAGGAGCCTCTCCAACAGGTCCGGATTTGGCAACCACAACTGGGTTTGGAATAGAGGAAGCAGCTCCACACCCAGAGCTTCCCAGTGCAGCTGCAGCCTGGGTCAGGGCTGAGCTACAACCTGCATTTCCCTCCTCAGAAAAGAAGGAAGCCGGGCTCTGCCTGTGGTTTTTATCCAGGCCCTCCAGGTGTGAGAGGCCATTGCAATTTCTGGTGCTTTCCCCAAAGAGCAGCACCTGCTCTCTCCCGCAGGTGGGATGCTGCCTCCTGACAAGTAGCTCACAGCTCCTCTGTAGACCCCCCCCAAAATAAGGGAGAAACACAAATACTGCATGAGCATCGGTCCCTTGGCTGCCCCATCCGTGGCACTGCTTCCTTCCAAAAAAAAGAAAAAGAAAAAAAATGCATCTTATTACCTAAATAATCTTAAGTAATTAAGAAAAAAAAAAAGGAAAAAGAAATCGTAAGTTTCTAAGGTCCTAACATGGTAGGATCAGCCAAGCTTAATGGGTTTACTCTCCAACATTTCCCAGTTGCCAGAGCGGGGGTTCCTCCGCTCTGGACGAGCTCAGTGCCACGATCCCTTGGCCGTGTTATTGCTGGGCAGGATTGCTCTCAGCAGCCGAACTTCGTTTTCCTGGTGACCCCTCCGTGTTCCCGGTCTAATTTTAGACCCATCACTTGAATTTACACTCAGAAAGGCTGGCAGATCAGTCATGGAAAATCTCCCGTGCCAATAGCATTTTGCAGGCCAAAGCCAAGCTGCTCTGCTTTCCCAGTGCTCCGTGCACTTGGCAGCTTTGGAGCTTTCTCTTTCTTTTTTTCTTTTCTGGACATTTATTTATTTCACGGCTGACTTCGCTTGGCACAGGCTGGCCCGAAACAGCCCCCGCTTACTCTCCACGGAGCTGGTTGGAAAGGGGCAAGTGGGGACTGCAAAAATCCCCCTCAGCCGGGGGAGAGAATTGGCTCCAGCCTTCCCAAGGAGAGGGATTTGCTCCTTCCTCCTCCTCACAGAGCCACAATGCCACCCTGGAGCAGGGGGCACATCCGTGCGCAGGCACCAGGAGCCGGAAAATGATAAAACCAGTCACTTATCTGCCCGTGCATCTCGGGATAACCGCAGCTTGGGTAAACATTACTTAATTAGCGCCTCAAAATGCTCTGGGAAGTGGGTAATGAAGCTCTATCGCGTTTTCCCGGCATTTTAATTGAGAAGTGGTGCAGCGAAGGGAATAGCTCAAGGCAGCGCGTGCAGGGCAGGGCGCGGAGCTGCCAGCCCCAAATCCGTCACCTCCCGCCTGCCCTTTCCCTGGGCTCCCGGAGGGACCGGGAATTCGGGTTCCCGGCACTGAGAGCAGTGCGGGGTTGGGATGAAGGATGCTGGGGACTAAATCCCCTAACGCTCCATGGTTTAGTCATCCCTGCAACTCACAAGGAAGCAGGAGGGAGGTCCAGGATGGTCTAGGTTGGGTTTAGAGTGGTGCTACCACAGCCTCATGGTGGCATTTGCAGGACATTCCCCGTCGTGGGACCATCGCGTTCAGAGGGGACCAGGTGATGGGCACGGTCCAACCCACGAGGACAAAGTCCCAGTGCCAGATGGCAGTGCAGGGTGGTTACAGCCTTGCTCCTGCCACCATCCCAGCGTTGCTGTCAGTGGGAAGTGGGGAAGGGAGGTGACAAACCCTCTGCATCCCGGGAGTATCGCTCCCCATGGCAAGCGGGCCCTTGGAGCGCTGGGAAGCTCCAGGATTGCCACCTCCACCCTGGGTGAAAGGGACTGGCCACAGGTGCCATTTCTTTGCATTTGGGGTTGCATTTGGGGTATTTTGGGTTCCAATGCTGTCACATTGCCCTTCACCAGGACAGACATGTCCCCATCTCAGGACTCAGCCCTGTCCCCACCCACCCCCCTGCTTCTCGTGGGAGCAACCAGCCATCCACACACCGACTGCGACAGATCCCGCCCTGGGAATCCCACCTTCCTCCCACAAACCCGGGCAGCGGGAATGGGAGCAAGGCCACCGCGCGCTCGCCCTGCCCGCCCATCACGGCGCGACCGGACCGGGCTCCGGCACCAGCGGCAGCTCCACCCCACGCGCTCAGGGGCATTTTTGGGGACCCC